ATATGTCCAATTTGTTTTCAATTGAAAGAGTTGCCAGACCAGCTAAACGAATTTGACATATTTGGGACTGCAAGTAGGTTTTTAAAATTTTAAAAATATTGCACGGGGTCTCGACAAAGCGAGGGACAAATATATTATTGTCTATTGATATTGATATTAATCATACATGGGGATACCGATACGGCTGATGCTACCTACATATTATGATATATCTATAATTTATAATTTAAATATCAATGCGAAAAGCATATACAATATAATAATCTAGTATAGATAAGGCCATAAGGGTCAACTGTTGACGTTCCTATACTCAGTAAATACAGCATGTATTACCTACGTTTAAAATATAACTACGTAATTGATGTTTATATATAATTAATATTATAAAGTTTCAGGGTGTTCTACACTTGTACATAAACCGTCTGAACCAAAACTAAATTAAGATAATTTCCGGATATCAGCTTTTATTTTTAAAGGTAAAAATATTAAAATGGAATAACCTTTTTTTTTGCTCATCAGTATTTTGAAAAAGGTGTTCTGTTTTCACATTAGCCTAGGGAACAACATATTATCCTAAATATGACCATGCCTACATCAAAGAAATGCCGCGCCGGGTCTGTGCGTATTGCCTGTGCCTTCCTGAATGAATTTTTATATTCTCAAGTTATCGAGACTCGACTGTAGGTAATATTATGTTATAAGCAGGGCTCGGAAGTTGTAACACTAAAAATGTTACTTTTTAGCTCTTAAATATGCATTTAAAAACTCCAAAATATGCGCTATATATAGCACAAAAAATCAAAAAATATGCATTTAACTTGAAAAAAAAGGTGGGCAAGTGGGTGTCGCTCTGCTGTACAGTAGGTTACAAGTGGGTCACTATATAATGGATGATATTAAATTTGAATTCAACGATATAATATCATTGTATAAGAAAAACGATTCTGAGAGGAGACAGTATGTCAGTCTAGGTATAAGACATATTATAGGTATACATTATACATATCTATGGTACTAAACCAAAATTTGACCTATAATAGGTAGGTACCTATAATAAATTCCAAAATTAATCATATCAAAATATCCATTAGGTACTTATAACGCGTTATACATCAACAAAAACCGTGATACTATCATAGATATATAATAGTACACTTTAGAAGTTTCAAGTATCCACGAATACCTAATATTATTCAATCACAACAAAATAACTAAAATAGTTATTCTAGGTTTTTTAATATGTAATTTCGTCCAAATTTGAATTAAAATGTCTGTAAAAAATAACTGTGTTCATATATTTTTTAGATTTTTTGGTTACAGTATGAACTATTTACGAGAACCTTTGTGTTGAATTTGCAATCCTTAGCTATAAAAACTGAACATTTTATAATTTATTAATTACAATAATTGATAATTTTCGAGATTTTGATAAATTTTGTCAAAATTTGATCTTTAAATGCTTATAACTTATAAGCAAGGCTGGGCATTAACGAGTTAATAAGTTAAAGTTAAGTTACTTTTAACTAAGTTAATAAATTAACGAGTTACTTTTTTTTTTAGAAGTAAAATCTAACTTAACGAGTTACATTTCTCCCCATGTTATTCAGTAACTTAACGAGTTAATTCATTTTATTGGCACGTTAAGTTAATATTTTCCCAAACCACATATTTAAAATAAATTCAGTTTTGTAAAATTAATTATATAAAAAAAACCCGAAATATTAAATATATTTTAGTAAATAATAATTTATAACAGCGTTTCTCAACCTGTGGTACGCGTACCCCTGGGGGTACGTAAAAAGGTATAAGGGAGTACGTGAAAAAAAATGCGTAATATCGGAAAAAATTACAATTGGTGTATTTTAAATGGTTTGTAATTTGTGAAATATTTAATAATGTGGCACAGATGGACACTGGATTTTATCTTATCGGGTTACGTAAAGTTGTTCAATACAATGTCAATCATTTGTCTATTAAAAATCCATTAACCATTTTAACCAGAAGAAAAACTTATTGAACTGAAGACGAATTATTCACTTGAGTAGTTGAGTTAATATTTGAAAAAAAATCTCTAATCGCTTTTTGGGCTGACGTAAAAGAAGAGTATCCTGAGCTTTCAAACAAAGCATTTAATGTTCTGCTGCCGTTCACGAGTACTGTGTTGGTGGAGAGGGCCTTTTCGTCGTACACGTACATTAAAAATAAGTATCGTAATAGACTCTCTGTGAGATTTACGAGTTTACTTATCATCCGAGGAGCCAGATTTCAAAAAATTATGTGCCAGCAAACAAGTTTAAGGGTCTCATGAAAATTAAATTTTAAAATGTATATTACTTTTATATATATATATATATATATATATTACGACATTACGTAAATTGTATGGCTAATTAAATTAATTAATAAATATTATTTTAAAATTTTCCATCATCGAACTTATTTCATAATATCTTAATTGTGTTATGTGTGAATATATAATAAATTGACATTTGGGGGTACGTAAAGTACTGGTGAGAGGTCAAGGGGTACGTAAATGAAAAAAGGTTGAGAAACGCTGATTTATAATAATAGTAAGTTATTATATTGCATATTCACAGAAAATATTATATAACTATATCATAGACGGAAATGTTATAGGGGTAACCGCATCATTAATAAAAGAAAAATACAACAATTTACTCAGTACCTATCACATATACGACATAATAACCTAACCTATACCTAACCATTATTAATATTATTAATTATTAATATATTTTTATTCGTTCGTAGAATTACAGCAATAACTTGGCCCGTCAGTGTAAATAATAAACGTAATAGCGTGGTAGTTCATCGTATTTACTATTTACCTAATTAAATAAATACCCAGGACGCTGATTCATTTTTATTTTTCAATAAACCAACCAATAATTTTTTTAATTTATTTAAAAAAAAAAAGAATTAACTTATTTTTAACTATGTTAAGTTACTTTTATTTTCTAATTAACTTCTAACTTTTACAAGCCAAAAAAAATAAAGTTAACTTTTAACTTTAAACTTTACTTACTTTGTTCTATATTAACTTAACTTAACGAGTTATAAAAAATAGTTTTTTTCATATATTTATTTTAAATGATTCATATAAATTTTAAAACAATGAATAATTTAAGTAGGTACCTACTTATGTTATAAGTGTTATTACTTATTAACTGTAAAATAAAAGTACCTACGTCACACTCCACAGTAGACCAAATAGTTAAAAATATTAAACAATACTTACCCTCTTCAATGTGTGGTTTAGACGTTAAGCAGTTATACTAGACGTTACTAGACTTAATGATAAGTAGTTATACTAGTTATCATTAAGTCTAGTAAAATAGTTATACCTTAACAATATTATTTAAATAAAAAGAAAATTCTGAATACAAACCATCATGATAATATGGAATATTATGGTGATTGGTGACAGTTTAATATTAAAGTTGGTTATTAATTTGAGATGACAATGTATACCATCTGTTTCAACAGCGATTCCCGATTAGACAGCCAAATAGTCCTTCTTATAAATCGATAATCTCAAGAAAAATTATGACAACTTAAGACGACGTCGAACCCAAATATGTTGGCTCCGTCTTACACACATATGACATGGAAAATTGTAAACTAGTTAACACTGTATCATTTGCAATTTTGTGCAACTTTGTTATAAATAGTAAAGGTAAATAATATTAACACCAAATAGTTATTAATAATATAATCTATTAAAACCAAATAATATTTAATAATATAATAGTAAAAATACTAAAAAATAATTATTGATAATATAAAATAATGATTCTGTATTTCTGTATGAAAATAATTTTATAATAATCAACATTCATCAAAAACTATTATAACTATATATAAAAAATCCCTGGTTTCTAGGAATGTTGTAATAGTTTTGCAAATTTTCAGTTATCACCATACTGAGCACATACAGGGTAGATTAATATTAATAATAAGAATTTAAATTACAGCACCAAACCGCATTTATGAAAAAGAATTTAAACATCTACAGTTAAATGCCAGTATAAATACATTTTCGTTGTTTTAAAAATATTATGTTTCTACTAATTTATCTAACTCAATCGATACTCAAATGTAAACTTTGTAGCTTATAAATAATTCCCATTCTTAAACTGATAGGTTAATAAACAATTATTTTTAGTTAATAATATATTAAAATACATTTAATAAAATATATAATATATTAAATATTAAATAAAGCATAATATGCTTATATATTATTTTGATTATTTGATATTGTTAAAAACTAGATAGCATTGATTTCTGATTAATTTTCTAAATATCAGCCCTGAAACAAAAAAATAAGTGTTACATAAAAATTAAGAAATAATGTTATAGAATTGATGGTTAATCTATCACTAAGGAATTTAGTTGGGTCCAATTTCTATCATAACAATCAATCTAGTGATATAATAAGGATTCTCAAATGTAAAATAATTTTAATATTAGGTACTACCATTAGCTTAGCCATTAATATACAGTAATAAATAACAATAATATTGAAATACAGAGAATATACAACATTTTCAATAATAGTTTTTATAAAGAAAACAATTAAATTACATATGACATATATTATTATATCAGGTAATATATTAAAAATAAATCTAGTCCATCATCAAATATTTGTAAATAGTTCAATTTTTAAATCAAATCCAGATAGTGCTGAAATCTAAACTTGATTAAAGTTACATTGGGATATAATATAAATACGTTTATTAAAATTGAAAATCGGAATGTTTGCAACACCATTATGCAAATAAAACAATCTTAAAAATCTTTACTTTACTACCATAATACAATTATAAATGAGTAAAGATACGTTTTCCCAACAGCGTCTAGGTATGTGACCGTACACATAGAATAACAGCGATAGTTCTGCTCCAATGTCTGCTGTGTGTAGACGCTACCAGGGAAAAGGAACCTTTCATATATTTTTTTAGTAATAATATTACTTACTTAGATTTTTTGGATTTAGTTGGTTTAATATTTGGTTCTAATGCACCATCATCAATACAGTCATATCTATTTACAAATATGTTTGATATATTAAATAAATATTCAATTATTATTCAGAATAAAATAATTATAGTCTATCTCACAAAAGAACGGGACTGGCGGCTGACCAAAACACGTTCGCCGCCGCACATCCCCCACCAACGATCCATTGTAAGCGTGATCACGTGGTTATCCAGGCACCAATCAAATCAGTTTACATGTGCGAAAAGGTCCCGTTCTTTCGTGAGACAGACTATAGTAATATATAATGTATAAACATCATATTAGTTATTACCTCTGTTTTCTTGATGGTGACTTAGAATCATTTATCTTTTCATTCCATAATGTTTCTGTCGAAGAACATTGATTCTGAAAACTGGCCTTACCAACATCCATGAAATATCTATTTTTATCAACTTCCTAAAATACAATTACATTTTATTATAATTCATTAAAAATATAATACATGAATATGGTATAAATGTCAATGAAATATACTGATTTTATTCAAAGTAATTTTTTTTCCATCAAACTCATTGAATATTCGCTATGTAATTTGTTTCTAATAATTAAAAAGTGTATACAAACAGATTTTAAGACACCGGACAGTGTTTCATACATATAATATATGATTTTGAACAGTGATAGTATGACGTTTCAGAATATGCACCGTAAAGTTTATATGAGATATTTCACGAGCCATAGATTTATTATTATACTATAGTTACAAAATGCCAACTCAATCATTTGACGTTCATTTTTTAAATTTTAGTTCAACCATGGTTGAAATAAAATGTTTATTGCATATCAACTCGGATTGTTATAATTAAAAACAAAAATGCTTCGTTAAGGGATATCACAAATATCAATTTTTTTTATCATCAAAAATACGCTGACAAAATACATAGTAGTAGTTTGTGGACAAAAGCTAACAAATTCAAACTTGATTATTATTGGCTCCCTTTATGCTGCCATTTTTGTTTTTATCATAAAATATTTGATTGAGAAGGGGTATGTAATATGTATATATGCAATAACCTTGTATATTTCAACCATGAGTTCAAACCATTAGTGGTACATTAATGCCAAGGAGACCAGTATAAACTAAGTTGATTGTCATCCCTCAAACATTTTTTATTATTGTTTATTTTGCCATTTTATTAATATTTTACATTTATGTGATGAAATTTAACTTAATTCAATAACTATCAATGATATACATAATTATTTATATGAAAAATAACATTAATTGAAGCTTATTTCTACTCAACAGTTTATCCACACTTCGCTAATGATTGAAATTAGGGACTGGAAAGAACCGGAACCCTCTGAATATTGGAAACCGAAACCTCACCGAAACCCTTATTTAAATTAATTTAAAAACCGTAACTTTACTGGATACTTTTACTTTTAACATTTTTTTACAAAGGATAAAACCAAAACAAGTAACAAATTTTTCATTTTTGAAGAACTAAAAAGAAACCAAAACCTAAATTTTAGTTTTTTTAGGAACCGAACAGGAATAGGAACTGTAAAAATCATCAAGGTTCCAGCCCCTGATTGAAACATGTTTAAAATAAATTTACTCTTTGTACTAACATTGTCTTCACGTAAATGTGGATCTTCTTTAAGTGATTGTTGGTTTGATAAGAGTATATCATTTTGATCACAATAATTATTGGCAATGAAGACATCAGGATTTTTAGTAGAGCAGGACATTTTTTTTTTCAATAACTCAATCTTGTCCAACCTATGAAATAAAATCATTAATAAAATTCATATTAATGGATAATACAATCATTCAACATTTGAGGAAATATTAAAAAATATGTATATAATTATTTGCAAATTAGATGATCAACCGAACACTAAAAATATACTAAATATTTCAAAATAGTAATGTAGTTGTATCTTAGATGATAGCAAGGCTGGACATGTTAACAATTTATTTAATTTTTTTAAGTCAAGTAATAAAAAAAAATTAAGTCAAGTTCAAAGTAAAAGTTACTTTTTTTTTACTTGTAAAATGTACAAGTTAAATAAAAAAAACAAGTAGCATGACTTAATAAAAATCAGTTCCATTTTTTTAACAGTCTATGATGAAACCCAAGAAGCAAATAGGATAAAAATATAAATATACTCTTATAAAAATAACATTTATAAGAGTAATTGACAAAAATAATAAAAGAAAGGGAGGCCTTGTAATGAAATTATCCTACAGATAAAAGTTATTAATTATTATTGATTTATGTTAAATTTTTATTGGCATCATGTATCAACAATGAACTGGTAGTGTTAATGTTGAGAGATTTGAAATTAATGTATTTTGGTGAAATTGTAATTTTACATGGAAATGTATATTAAGTTGTATTCATACGCAGTTTTTAATCCCTATTGCAATCCAAAATAATGCATTAAAGACTTAAGACAATAAACAATTTTGTAATTAAAATATTTAAATAAAACATTATAATAATAATTTCCATTTTATTTTATTTATATTAAAACAATAAATTGTACTAAACAATATATATTATCTTTGAGGTTTAAATTAGGAAAAAAATTAACTTCACTGTATAATGAATTAAGTAATTGTAACTGTTTATCATAGGAGAAGTTACTTATAAAATGTTTAACTAGTCTTTAAGGGTGTTGGTGCCGGTTATTTATTAAGGAGTAAAATTTAGGCAATTCAACTCACATGTGGTATCCGCCTCGCTCGGAACGTGCATGTGTGTATGTAAATTGATATTAGTGTGAGTGAGCTATAATTACACGCGCAGATACAGATATAGATATTTACGCACGCACATGCACAAGTCAGAGCTAGATTTCGATGACTATTATCAAAGCACTATTTTTATGAACAAAAATAGTTTCACAGGAAAAACTCTCATGCCTCGTAGATATGTCGGAATTTGGTCAATTTTTTTTTATCTGAAAGATGAGAAGTTTCTGCAGGTCGAATCATAGCTCAAATTTTTATTTTACTTTAGAAGTAGAAAAATACGTTTGAAAAAGGACAAATATTGTGCATTTTTTAAATGCCTATTCTTGGTTCTATAATTATAACTTTCAAAATCGAGCTTTGATTTGACCTACAAAAAAATGTTCTCTACTTTTAGATACAAAAAAAAATTAACAAAATCCGACAATTCTACAGGCCGTGAGAGTTTTTCCTGTAAGACATGTTTTTGTACCAAAAAACGCACTGGCTCCGACCCCCTTAATGTCCAGCCTGGGAAAATAGTATGCAGAATTATCATAAGCCATTATAAATAATCTTGTGTACATTATAAGCAATTGATTTGTTTAAACATAAAAGCATTAATAATTGTAAATAATAACTCATTACTTATCGTATATAACAGCATTTACTCCCAGTTTTTTGAATTTATTAGCTACATCTTTACAATTGTTATCATCTCCCCAACAAAATAGAGCGAGTCCAGCTTGTTTGACAATATCTATTTGTAATGGATCACGCAACAAGTCTTCAGAGTGAACATTTACTCCCTGAATAGATGTAAACAATTTTATTTTAAAGTATAACAATGTAATATTTATAACTTTAGTTATGTATGTAAATGTAATTTAAGTTGCAGTAAACATACAAGGTTATTAGTTACAGGTTAAATAAATAAATAAAAAACCAATATGTATAATACGATTTATAAGTTGAAAAAATCATCAGGAAATTTACCAATAAATCATGACAAGTAGCATGGTAAACAGCGTTTTGTATAGAGTGACATCTAGGATCAGCATATGAAGGGTACCGGACTGTAACACCCTGAGTTAAAAATAATATAGGATACCGATTTTGCTTCATTTTAAGCCTGGAAAATTATTAATCATAAATCATAAAATATTTTTAATATGTATTTTATTGTATATTAAATAATTGTATTTATTACTACATAAATTGGTTATATTTAATCATTTGCTATACACACAATATCAAATATTATATTGTTTAATAAAATTAGAAAAATATAGCAATAATATGTACTGTTGCAAAAATGTATTTATATTGTATGCAAGGTTGTAAATAAATGGTTCATACAAAATAAAATATTCTATGAATACCTACTGAAAAATTAGGTTATCATATACAAACAAAATTGGTAATAATTAAAGATGAAACTTTTAAATAAACATTATTGTTTTTAAAAAACCCATTATAAATAATAGAAATACTATGTGAAGTCTAAAAAAATAAGTTTAGAAATAAATATATTCATTTTTAAATTGGACATAATATGTACCATAATAACTTACATAGTACAGACATCAGGATGAAAACAAGAAAACACAATACTTCGGGATCCTGCAAATTCAAATGTGGTTTTAAGTATAGTGTCGACAAATAAATTCATGTCGAATGGGTTTTCGAGTTCATAGGTTCCATCCTGAAAATTTAGTGGCCAATTAAATACAAAACAAATAAAATTAGGATCAACTAAAAATGATCATAAAATACAATCATTTTATTTGTATATATATATTATAGCTATAATAAATAATAACCTGAAGTTTCATTGTCCACTTTAATTCAATATTAAATCCAACACTGGTATCAACATCTGTAAATGCTTTCTCAAGTTTTGGAAAAGGTTGATAATCATTTCTAACATCATTTAGAAAGTGAGTTTCAGAAAGAGTATAAGGTTCTTTAACATGATAAATCTGTAAAATTATTATTAATAAAATAAAAATTTCCAATTATTTAAAAAAGTGTAAGGAAAAACTGAGATTAAAAATCGATTTTGTTTTTAGTGTAACTCTAAAAAATTACTTACTATTATTGTACTTTACTTACTTTACTACTATTTCTACTATTTATAATAGTGTACTAATTAGTGTAACTCAAAAGTAATTCATGTGATATTTACTATTTTCACTTATCATAAATGGCAGTTAGCCATGTTCATTTTTGCCCTAATGTAGTAAGTCCTAAACTTATAGTGATAAGTCCTTAATTTTTGTACTAGTACAGTTATTTTATTGCACACTTATCATATGTCCGGACTTATCATACATTTGACTTGTATTCCCTCATTTATGAACTGACTACATGTTATAAGCCCGGACTTATTATATGAGTACAGTTAAAATATGTATATCAGATGTAGGACTTATTACATTTGAGCATAACAATTAACTATAAAGAAATGGACTTATAATGATTTGTGTTGGATTACAAACAACTACAGTGATATTATTTTGTTTTTAATTATCCCCGTTTTGATAAAATAATGAATATCATTATTTATTTGTATTACGCTTATGACGACTTATCTTGTAATATTAATATTATGGCATAAATAATTATCGTATATCAAGAAATATTAGCAATCTTAGCTGAGCTTTGATTGTTCATTTCATAGAAATAGTTTATAGGTATATGGTTCATACCATAAAATTAAGTTTCTTGGAGTTATTATGATTTCAAATGAATAAAAAAATATAATATAATATTGTTAATACGGTTTTATGAATTATGATAAGACATTATTATAGGGTCCTGTGGGTAATATTGATTAAAAAAATATAAATAAACAATTTAGTATTTAATAAATATGTGTTTTTCATTTTAATTAAAATACCTAGTACACTATTTCAAGAACTATTATAATAAAAAAACTAAGAGCAAATAAAATGTTGGCTGTGATGGTCAAGAACTTATTTAGTCATTTTTAATACCCAGGATTCGGAATAAATGCATTCGATTATTTTCAATGATAATATATATAAAATAATAATATTATTATGATAAAAGTAAATTAGTTATATTTTTAGCTAAGGAAAAATGTTACTTTTTATTTTATTAATTTACAAGCTGAACCCGTGCACGTCGTTGCCCCTTAAATGTACTAACTCTATATGACTCAAACTTTATTCAATTCATTATTTAATATTCGTGTTTAAAATTATTCTTAACTTTTCCGTTGCCCGAAATACAAATTCTGATTCGCAGCAGTATATTATCAGGTAGGCAATCTATCAGCGGTAGATCGCGGACCCCTAGTTTGTACTTAAGTGTATGATTCAACTCTAAAGTATCAAAGTTATATCAAGTTGGTCGTATTCTACCTATGGTGGATTAATATAATCAATTAATACAAAATCCTAACCTAACCTGTTGCGTCATTGTTGTATTTTTGACATCCAGATTTCCTACTTTTCCGGTGGATTTTCCTAAAATTTTATTTCATAATAACCTTCTCCGTGATGATATACTCTTTCGTTTAAAAAAAATCAAGAAGATCTGATAAGTAGTTCCAGAGTTGACCCTGTACAATGATTTTTATTTCACATTTATATAGTTAGAATATATTGACAAAAAATAATAAAACAAATCAACAAAGGTGCCAGTAACCAATAGCAAACAATATTATACACTAATATTATTTTAATCCACAACTTAATTTTTAATTTTTATTATTATTATTATGTATTATTTAGGGTGCACTTAAGAGGCCATAACTCCGGAACCATTTATCGCACAGCGTAAAAACTTCACAGAAACCATCTACATATAAATCTTAATATGCCCTGAAATTGTTATCAAAATCGGTTTGTTGGATCTTCAGTTATAAAATTTATTCAAATTGTACACTTATTTTTATATATATAGATATTATTTTATAAGAAGTGAGAATTATTATGTTTTGTAAATAAATGTTTATGTTTCAATGTTTCAAGTATAGAAAAATTTTATTTGAATATGTTGAAGAGCTTCTATCAATCCATTGTGTCCTTTAATTTTTTAAGGTTTGTGAAAAGAAAATATAATAATTTGTTTGCAAAAAGTAATAGTTATAAGTCCATGTCTACCCAAATTTATTTTGTCACTTAGTGTTAAGTCTATATAATTTTTTAAAAAATGTCATTAAAATAAATAAATAAATATTCCACAAATTCAACCTGTATATTAAAAGGAAACCACATATATTGTTGAGTTAATTTCAATTTAGAAAAAACGAATTGATTAAATACTGCTTAAGTTCAGCGGGTGTCAATAAGTTAAAATTTAAAATAGCTCTCCAGCGCAATTCAATTTTGTAATTTATAACAAGTGTGCACTAAGCCATCTATATATTGTTTTTCATATGTAACTAAATGTTGATTTGTTTACTTAAAATTATGAAAAAAGCATTGTTTTTAAAATAAAAATTCTAATAAAAAAAAATATCCCTGTATAAATATCATAATTCATAGATACATGTTTTAAATAGTTTATTTTAAATAATTACCTTTAATTTTTGTAATTGTTCGAAAGAAAAATCTTTCAATGGAATTTGAACCATTTCAACTTCATCGGCTAAAAGATTTGTTTTAGATTTTGTTGCCATTGATACTACAAAATCATGATTAATAATAGGTACCAAATCTTTTGTAAGTTGTACATCAAACTCAACTAAATCAGCCCCTTTATTTGCTGCTTCTTTCAGTGATGCTATTGTATTCTCACGAATGTGCGAACAACTGTGGACAAAAATAAAAATTATTATTTACATTTTTAATAATGTTGAAAAAAATTTTTTAAAGTTATATATAAAAGGTATACTGCAGAATAGTTGATAACTACTGTTAATAGTGACATATATACGCAGTCCATGAAGCGATCATTACTTTTGGTCTCATATAATGGTTATGAGAAAAAAAATACCTTCATAAGAAGAACTCTAAACATTAATAATTAGGGGCATGAACTTTCTCATATTTGCCTAGAAAGGGCACAATGTGAGTGATCTGTAAATATGTGTTGTTACACTAAGACAAATGTCATCAAACTTTTCCTACAAGTGAGCTACTTTAAACATATTAAGTATCTAGTTATCAACCACTATTTATCTATGTATATTATTTATATTAATACATGCAGCACAATAATTGTATGCAATTACACTAAGACAAATGTCATCAAACTTTTCCTACAAGTAAGCTACTTTAAACATATTAAGTATCTAGTTATCGACCACTGTTTATCTATGTATATTATTTATATTAATACATGCAGCACAATAATTGTATGCAATATTCTTCCTTTATTATTTCTCCATGAGAAAATTGTGTTTTTCCTTTACTTCGTACATAAAGTGCAACAGTTTGTTTAAGATTACGCACATGATTAACCGATATTGGTTTAATTAATTTTGAATACGATCAACCAGTCAATTTCAACTAGTTGGCAACCTTTGCACTAGAAGCTAACATTTTAAAAAAAATGTGGGCAAGTGGGTTTAGCTCTGCTGTGCAGTAGGACCAGTAGGTTAAAATTGGGTCACTGTATATTTTAAATGTTAAAGTGCATATTTATTTTGAGATTTATAAGAATCCAATATTTATACTAGAATTCCTTTACCAACCTTACTTAATATTTAATAATATTATATAATTTGAACTTACTCTGATAAAATTTGTTTAAATGATGAACCTGATCCTCTGTGGCCAATATCTAATGGAACATCATTACTTTTCCAGTCTGTCAATCTCAATTGTTCTAAAGTACAGTTGATATCTTTTGTTGGTTTAATAATTAAATAATCAACTGTAATTATAAACATAAAAACATTTTAATACTAAAATAGTTAACTGTTAGGAACATATTAATTAATTTACTTTTAAGTTCTCCTATTGGCTTATGACGAACACTGGTGATTGGAGATATAACTATTCCATTGCTATATTTCATATTACTTGGTAGAATGTGAGTGAATCCAATATGAAAAGGAGGTTCATCAGAAGATTCTTTATGTAGATACAAATCAAAAAGATATCCCTGCAAAAGTATTGGCATATAAGCTAATTGTCATTAACTAACATAAATCAAATATTAATTTTGAAAACAATATACTTACAACACAACTGAAATTGTACATTTTTGTTTGAAATAAATGAAAAGTATTTTCTTGCACAGTAGTACCAAACTGACTTTGATGCTTAAAAGTATGACCTCCAGGAATATCCTAAAATTATTTATTAAGTCTATAAATAATAATACAACAATTACATAAATAATTTATATTCAAAAACTGTGTAAATTGTAAATTTAAGGGTTTTTTATTTAATTAATTAAGTAGTAACGTTGGACAAGTTTTTTAGTTTATACTGTTGCATAATATGTGAACATGTTATAAATTATTATGAGCTGTTCTAATACTAAAGAAGTTCTTTTGCATGGTTTTTTTTAAGAATATAAATAAAATTAATCTATAGAGAAGTTTAAAAATATACAAAATATATACTAGCTGTATTACCCAGAGATAATTAAACCGAGATGAGCAACGCACCTGAGGGGGATAATAACTATTTTTATTACATGACCTTATTTCAATAATTTAATTTACAATATACATATAATATTTAATATAAATTTGCTGTTGTCTGTGGCTTATATTCCTTAGAATAATAATAATAATAAGATCTTAACTCTTAAGACCTATGTGAGGGAAATTTGGTGCCAATTAGACATAACCTTTGAATTTGTATATGAGTCATTTAGATATAACCTGATTGATATCTATATTAGCCAAAAATCTATAATAATCAATTTACCTATAATACTCGGTTGAAATACTCTCAATTGTTTTTTATATACTTTCATATACTTTGCCTCTAATATATAACAGTTCTTAATCGATTTTAAATTTATATAGAATAGCTTTAGTAGCCTAAATAATAGGCATAACAAAATACAATACAGTACAACAAATTATATCAGATTATAATATTATCTTTTATATCATCGGTCAAGTCAAGAAATTAAACAGATCTACAAAAGAATTATATACATAAAGATATATATGTTTAATAAATTGAGTCTTCAAGGTTCTGATCAAAGTGATTTTAAATATTAGTTTAAAAGTTTGAGTACATAATTTAATACTTAAAAACCATTCATTTTTTTAAAAATGTTTCAGTGATAAATGAAAGATCACCCATGTTAAAAATCTATAAAAATCCTGTAAATCTAAATCTCAAAGTATATCTCCTTATGGGTTAATTTTTAGTCTACAGAAGCATTAAAAAAAATATTTACCACACATTCTACATATGGCCATCCAAAATGTTTCTCAATGTAATCAATTCCTTGTGAGCTAGAATCTTCATGTATGAAACTACTTGTGTTAGGAGATGCGTCCCCAGAATCAGCAGACAGTTTAGACAAAGGTACAGGTGTCATTTTAACACTAACTGAATTCTAAAAAAACCGTAAATAATATTCTTAGTATGCAAACTTTAATCTAATATATATAATAATTTCCATACCATTTTACTTTGTAGTTTAGAGTTCCAGAATGTAATAGGAGTATCAAATAATTTAAACTGAATAGCACATTCCGTAGTCAAAAAACCCTTGCTGATATATTTTTTATCATTCATACCATACATATCAGTTTGGAATGCACTATCACTGCTTAATATTTGGGTTTCTAAAATTAATATATTTATTATTATATTATTTTACCAGGCTCTTTATTATAATTAACATACCATCTTGTACACGTCTAGGTTCCTGTTGAGACTCCCATGAATGAACGAAAATATGTCTTTGTTGCACAAATTCACCGTCAGGTTCTATAATATATGCCATGAAATAACGAAAGAATATTTCTTTATCTGGTGGCAAATGTATAGACCCAGTCCAAATACAGTATTTTCGACTAAAGCAACATACATCAAATTATATTAATTAAAACAATACAATATAATATTACATAAATTGTTTAATATAAAGAAGAATATATAATTAAATATAATCATACATGGTTAAGGATTAAGTATCTTACAAAATACACATTTGTAAAAATTAAGGTTACTTAATAAGTAATTACAGTTTCAGTAACAATTATAAACTATTACTTGTAGTGTATTTTCCCTAATCTTAAAAAAATGTAATACCTATAGCTTTGTTATAGTTAGATATTAAATGTCGAACTACAAATTTACACCATACTTCATAAAAAATTAATAGTTCATTTTTCAATATTTTCTGAAAATAGATTCCTAAAATTGTACAGTTACCGGAAAATGATAATATTATAAAATGAAGGAATGTGACTAGAACATTGAAATAGTTAATAAAAATATATATATTAAATGTTATTATAATACATTCTAACTTCAATATGTCCCTAGATCTAAGTCTAATAAATAATGGTCACTATTTTAACAATGTAAACTTTTAGAATATTAACTAGACAAAAAAATAATCAAAAGATTAGACACATACATAGTATATACCAGCTACCAATGTTAAAACTTCAAATACTTGCCACACATTGATAAGTCTTTAAAGTTTTCTATATTTTTATTCTTAAACATAGTCAAATGTGGTCCATCTAAAGAGTTGTTTGTACTAATACTAGTAATACTAGTATATTTAGTTATGATGTGGGAATTTTAGTATATTATATAATATTTGAAATTCCCAAAACTAAAATTACAACTTTCTAATTTAACCATAATATACTATGATTAATAGTCTATACCGTGTGTCCGTGAAAACAGGGTACACTGTATAATTAAATTACACATGTTACTCAATAGTCTAATACATATTTTTGAATTCTGTTTGCGGGACATAAAACTAGACTATTGGATCATCAATATCCTTCAGACAAAATTCTAAAATATTTATAGGGTACCGAGTAATGTAGGTAACTGAGTTATAGAATGTACCCAGTTTTTGCGGACATATGGTATAGTATATTACAGATATTCTCAAACTTTGGACCGCAGCACAAAAGTGTGCCATGTAATATTTGTTTTATCATGTGTAGTTTGTATAAGAATTAAATGATAAAAGTTTAAATTTAAACGTTTTGCGTAAATATGCAGATAATTATTTATGTTTTGGATTTAGGCGGAATGGCAAGGTATTGACTGTCATTTACTTGTTTTTATTGTCAAAAAATAAAATTTGCCGTTAAGTAAAATAGGTTGGGAACCTCTGGTATATTATATATTAAATATAGATAATAACTTCTCTAAATAAAGTTGTAATTAGATTAACTTTTAATACTACTGTTGCACTCCCTAAGTTAAATTTGACTCTTAAATTATAAATATTAAAGAAAATCCATTCAAAACTAAAAATACTAAAGTGAAAATGTAACTATTTAATTTTTAAATAGCTAATTAAAATATTAAATGTTGACATGATCATTATTTGATATCAATATTTTGATGATTATAATCAACTTACTTTTTTCTTATACGTATCACATTTGTGTTATTTAGAACAAACGCCTTATTTGCTTCCCAATTACCTAGGGTTGGGCAGTTACCAGATACACAAATATGTTGCCCCGTTATTGTTTCAGCTTCAACAGTGAATGTTTTGAGTACTAATAACTTGTCCATTTCTTTAGATGATTTTGGTACTGTATGAAACTTTGTCTCTGATGAATGTACCTCTTTGGCGTTTTCTTGGTCTTCTTCATACCATTGTTGCATATTAACTAATATCTAAATGTTCAACAAAGTTTAAATACACAAAATGCGTTTAATATTGATAACTAACGTTTGTCATAAATAATGTCCATAACACATTAAAATACTTCTTATATGATTTAAATTATTTTGATTAAGCTATAAAAATAAAATACTAATAGTGAATACCTAGGTAACAATATTAGGAGACAACATTTAAGCTTATAATACCTATGCAGGTAACTGATAATATAATACTTAATCTTAATATAAATTGCCACTTTTATATTAAATAAAAGTAATAAATTAAAAATAATTTTAAATACCTATTAAATACAGTAGGATTCAATTTTTTTTCTAGTGAGGGGGGATTGAAAATAGAAACCCATATTTTTTTTTAATTTTAACATTTTATCCATACTATTTATAAAATGCTATAGGTATAAGTTCTAACCAGACGTCAGAATGACAGTACTTTTTTTACACCTTGAATAAAACATATACATTTTACATTTCAATCATTGATAATTATAGGTATCTATATTTTGTATAAATATTATTAAATATACTATGATAATATTCTGAATACATTTAATAACTTGGCTGAAAAGGATTTATTTGAAAGCTTCAATTGCCCTCCATGTTACTAGATATAGTACATTCCTAGTTTTTTTTTTTTAATATTATCCATTGGATGTATAAGAGAGTAACTTTTTATAAGTATAATATTATATAAATTGTAAAAAATGTATGAAATAATTATTTGTTTTGATAAAATTAAAAAAAATGTATGAAATGTTTTTTATTATTAAAAAATATAACGTGGTCGAAGAGACGATGCAGCTAATGACATAATACACTGGCTTGACTAATGTCGGGTTAATAAATATTTAAAAAATGTTAACAGTAATAAAATATATGGGCATTCAACAAAACTTGATTACCTAATAGATAAACAATCTAACTTATATTTTTTTATGTGAATCAGTTTTAATAATTAATCTTGAGGTGTTTTAAGTTAGGTACTGTTGGAGTTTTTAAATTTAAAAACACTAAAAATACAATATCTAAATTATAAATATTTTTATAATAAATAAGAATTTTCCTTGAAAGATATTTGAGATGTAGGTACAACATAAATACGTAGTAAATATATAGTTCATTTCAAAAAACTAGAATTCTGATGCTCTTATTTATCCACTGTAGACTAAGAAAGCAGTAAACATTTCAAAATGTCATAAACAAAAAAGAAAAACAATATATGTCAAACACAGTTGTCTTTGTCTTTACCGTTATCTCGGAACAATGGACAGGCCCAAATGATCGAATGAATTCGTAATACTGCGGCCGTCGGTGAGTTTCCGAAAATGGACGAAATATGACGGACACAAAAACGTCTCGTTTCTCGTGCCGTTTGGCCAGTATTTTTGTATGAAAAAATAAACGGAAATTAGTACCTCCGGCCTCCGCCTTCCCAGTGCGAAACTTGTCCGTCTCGTTCGTTCTCTCCGTCACGATTTGCCGACGACTACGAAAAGGAGGGAATGGGCGACACCCGCGCTTGACCGAATGATGCGCAAGTCGTTGTCGTCGTCGGCCGATAACCCGGCACGCGCGGACCTTATCGAAGGCGAGCGTCGAGATTCGGTGGTACTGCCAGAGAGCCGAGGCGACACTTGGGTAACACACCAACACACCGCAAGAAAGAAAGAAAGTAGGAACAGTATTTGAAAAATGTCTAAAACTGTTGTACTGTCATAATATTGTCGAGGAATAGCGTTGAATGTTGAAGGTACGAACCGAGACGATAACGAATTTATGAACCGCGAGTACAGACAGTACGCTTACTTTTCTAGTTTTCTATGCTGTACAATCGGTGCTGTAATAGGTACTTCAGTGCGCCTTCACGTCGTATCTTCACAATAATTGTTATCATCATTCTCGTTATCGTGCTTATTTCTAATCGATCGGTTACACCACTTCGAGAGAAATCCTACCTACTGATTGGTCTCCGCCACAATCACGCGATGACAAATATTCATTGATAACAATTAATAATATTATTGTTCAATGTTTATGAATGTTTCCGCGTATGTTCGTACTTCGTACCAATCGTACCATAGGTAATAGCACAGATTATATGAAAACAGATTGTGCACTTAGGGCCGTTCTTACAATGTCCGGTAAAGTGTCGGTTAACGCTAACCGACTGATAACAGATTTTATTACCGGCAGAATTCTTCCGGTTAAGTGTCGGTTAACTTTAACCGGACGTCGTAAGAACGGCCCTTAGATGTAAACAAAAAATGGCCTGATTCTGGTCTCCGCCAGAATCAATGTGACCATTTCAACAGATTGAAATTACTTGAAATGTATCGTATACTTGTGGCTTACCTGATAGTGATATCCGAGTATCCGACAAACAAAACATATTGTTATCAACACTCTGATCCTTTATACCTGATAGTCTGATGTTTAGTTTTCACTTTTCACGTGTTTTTGGCGTTTGACGTTTTACGATTTTTGGTGTTTGCTTAAATAAAATAGTTTTTTTTTTGTAATATTTTATATTTATACTGTCATATTTATTTTAAAAAATGACTACTTGTGCAGTCAAGTTTTGCGACAATAAAATGTCACTAACGAAAAATATAAGCTACTTCAGATTTCCAAGCGACCCATTGAGGTGAGTAATTAGGTTTGTTTTATGATTTTCATATGTATGCATTACAATTTGTTACGTTACTAATTTATTATAGGTGTAAACAATGGATGGAAAAATGTCAAACTGAACATTTACTGAAAAAAGATGCTACTATTTTATACAAAAATTACAGGGTGTGTGGTGTTCATTTTGAAGACAAAATGTTTTTAAATCCAAATAGTAGGAACCGTCTTACAATGAATGCTGTGCCAACCATATTTAGTGGTAAGATTTTGTTTATTATAATTAATATTTTTAAGACTAAATGAAACTATTCTAATTTGCTTTTGCTTTGCTTTTGCTGCGGCTACACGGCTGAGAGATGCATATTGATAGTTCAACCACCAAGATTCTTCTCAGGAAATGATCTATTGTTGTACTCCAGAGTCCTGAGGATATCCAATGAATTACAGATTTTGAATTAAGTTTATTTACATTAATTTAATTATTACCTATATATTATATTTCTTTTTTTAAAGTAAGATTTTTACTCTGTGAAATTTTTAAAATTTAATTTAATAAAATTGTTTTATTCCATTATCAAAATATCAAATGTTATTAATTTTTTTCAATGCATATGCTTATGCCATGCAAATAAATGAACTACTTTAATATGAATTTATAAATATTATTAGCTGGAATATTAATGAAGAGAGAAATGGAAAAGAAATCAGAAGAAGAAAAGGAAAAGAAATTGGAAGAAGAAAAGCAAATGCGAGAATTTGAGGCACAGGTCGCGATGGCATCATGTTCTACTCCACCACACTCATTAACTTACAATGATAATGCATATACCAATGTCAGTGACGTATCTGGTTCCTCTTCCATTTCTAGTAAGCTACAAGTGTCTACTAGTGATTCATCTTGCCAAACTCCACTTTATCTCACTAACAAAACTCCAAGAAAATTAAAACTATATAATGAACTTCAGTCCAAAAATAAAGAAATTAAAGATATGAAAAAACAAATTAATGCCATAACTCAACAATTAGCAAATGTTAATACTGTTGAACAAATGTTAACTTTAACTAAGCAATTTTTACCTCCTGGTTTATTTTTAATTATAAGTACACATATTAATCGTAGAAATACAAAAGCAACTGGGTATAGGTATTCCAATGAATTTAAACAGTTAGCTCTAACAATTTATTTTTTGGGACCAAAGGTATATAGATTTTTGCAATCAACTCTTGCTCTGCCTAATCCATGTACACTAAGACGCATAACAAAACATTATGAAATAAATCCTGGTCTTAATGATTCATTATTTAATTTTTTACAATTTAAAACACAACATTTTTCACCTGAATCATTAGAATGTGTGTTGTGCGCAGATGAAATGGCAATAAAAAGTAATTTGTTTTATAACATAAGTAAGGATGAAATAATAGGGTTTAATGAAACAAACAATCGTAAAACGTATGATCCAGCAAAGTTTGTACTTGTCTTGTTGGTTCAAGGCATAAATTTCAATTGGAAGCAACCGATTGCTTATTTTTTTATATCAAACAGTTGTACAGGTTTTGATTTGCAGGACATAATTTTAACCAGTATTTTTAAACTAGAAAATATTAAAATTAATGTTAAAGCATTTGTTAGTGATATGGGTTCCAATTTCATAGGCCTCTCAAATAAACTTCAAGTTAGTCCTGAGCGGCCATATTTTGAAATTAATAATAAAAATATAGTGTATATATTTGATCCACCACATCTTTTAAAAGCCACCAGAAATATGTTTTATCAACATAATTTTAAGTATGATAATGAATTAATTGAAAAAAAACATTTGGTTTCATTCTATAATGAAGATAGTAAAAATAATCTTCGCGCTGCTCCTAAAATTACATACTCTCATATATTTCCTGGGCCTTTTGAAAAAATGCGCGTATATTTAGCAGCACAGGTGTTTAGTGAGAGTGTCTCAGCTGGAATGCTACTTTTCTTAAACTCAAGCCACTTACCTGATACTTCATTGCCTACAATCAACTTTATTCAAAATATGGATAAACTTTTTGACATATTTAATTCTTCTAGACGACCTGGCTTAAAACAATTTAATAGACCTTTTAAAAATACTGATTCGCAAATTTCACATTTAAAATTTATGGAAAACTTTTTTAAAACATTACAAGTATTTAACAAAAAAACAAATCTTGAAGTGACAAACCAAATGAAATTTATTAGAGGTTGGTTAATTTCAATCTCTGGTTTATTTCAATTGTGGGAATCATTAAAAGTTACCAATACTGATGAGAGTTATGTTCTGTATACAAGTCGAATCAATCAAGATAGGTTGGAAAATTTATTTGGCACGTTTCGT